ACAGGCCATTGATGTGTGGACCAGTGTGTGGTAAGTAGAACATGGCATTACAGGCCATTGATGAGTAGACCAGTGTGTGGTAAGTATACCATGGCATTACAGGCCATTGATGAGTAGACCAGTGTGTGGTAAGTATACCATGGCATTACAGGCCATTAATGAGTAGACCAGTGTGTGGTAAGTAGACCATGGCCTTACAGGCATTTGATGAGTGGACCAGTGTGTGGTAAGTAGACCATGGCATTACAGGCCATTGATGTGTGGACCAGTGTGTGGTAAGTAGAACATGGCATTACAGGCCATTGATGTGTGGACCAGTGTGTGGTAAGTATACCATGACATTACAGGCCATTGATGAATAGACCAGTGTGTGGTAAGTAGACTATGCTATTGATCTACTCAATTTAAACACTCAGTTTACCTTTTCTCTGGTTCAGAGAAGGTAAATGCCATTGAAAATCTTTGTATCATAATTCCTAGCCTGTTTTTTTATTTTATTGTAGACAGTCTTGAAACTCGTATTGAACACTATGCTAAGAAACGAAGACTAGCAGAGGAGACAGAATCGCCATGAATGTTGCATGTTTTAATAAATGTTGCCGCTGACATAACAAGCTGACATGTTAGTGTAGCTTTTAGACAATTTCAGATGCACGTCTTAAGTGGGGAAAAAAATGGCCGATAACTAATTTTTAAATTAGTGTTACATATATATGGATTGTGTGATCAGTATGGTACTGGAGACCTTAATTGATTATACATACTTACAGGCACAACAGCTACCCATACATTTTTTTGACCCATCAAGTATTAAGCATACATAGATTTGTACAAGACAGAAAAATAAATTTGAATAAAAATGTGAAGTCTCCCAGTGAGATTCATTCATAAAACATAGATATACAACACATAGTTTGCCTTTTATATGCAAAGCAGGATGTGGGAAGACCATCTATGCATACAGAATAAACATATATACAAGTTTGATAGTAATCACCTAATTGGAATGTAGAAAAAAATGGAAGTTATTCACGACTCTTAGAGACAATTTGAAGGAGTATAAGGGTGTGTAAATATGTACAGCAACACAGAAACAAACATGTTAATATTAAATATATCATGAATTTCCCAATCAACCTGGTTCTTAGTACCAGCACACTCTTTATTATGGGGAAACTCGCGAACAGTTCTAGTATGCAAGTTATTGAACAAAATGTGGTATCCTCTATTGACAACATTTAATCGAAGGAAGAAAGACACGTACAAATTCTAGTTTCTAGCAATGGATTTGATCTCTCATTCTTCCATGTGCAAAGCAAAGGTCTTACCACTACACTTTGAAATTTCCCAATAGACTAATTAAAAAAACAAAATAACACAATTTTATACATGCAACACTGGCCAAATTTTTACTAAGGCTTACAACTCTGACAGAAAGCCTGCTCATTAAAAAAATATATTATCTACATCTATAAATGGTGTTGGGGGAAGGTGGCTAGATTTTAAATAAGAGAATGCCCTACAACTTGCAATAAAAAAAAGTCTCTGCGTTATCCCATACTTTTGTAACTGTATATTCACTGTTATTAGAAGATTGCCATTCAGTTTATTTCATATATACACTGGATTTTCAGGATAAAGGCGAGCCAAAGCAGAAACTATATCAATCGTTCATTCAGCCAAACTGTTCTAAACAAAAAAACGTGGGTATTTTGGAGGCTAAATTAAACATTTTTGCTCATGTGACTTTGCGACATAATTACTACAAAATTAAGGTAATATATACTAATCATTTATTCTGAAAACTAAATTACGTACAATGAAAACATCCCCCTTCCTGATATATCTGGTACAAGAACTGTACATATGTGCAGTCAATTTGACTGCTTAGAATACTTGTATGTTTTTAAAGATTTTGAATGTTGTCCGGAATAAATGACAGCGGATGCTGCTGTACACACTGAGCTGGCTGCCAGTTTAACAATCCTTAGTGAGTGATGTGAGTGATATTCAAAAATTCTTTATGGAAATAATTCCCTGAAATAATTGTCCAACTTGGCAAACTATTTTTCTATCTATGCATATTTTATATATTTCTATACATATTACATAATTGAAAAAAGTTGATTGACTACAGTCCTAATCAATAATTACCCGGTATGCAAATCAATTTAAACAAAAAAATGTGATGCCCAGTTCGCCCATATTCAATATACTTATAGCTAATCTTGTGTTGGTCTTTTGTCTTTGTAATGGTTTTTTTTAAGTAATTTCTGGTGTTCTTAAAGTTGTTATTTTTTGATATTGAATTTTTATGGTAACAGAATGGCTATGGTTCCTCCCATAGACAATACCATCACATAGACTAAAGGCTGACACAAGAAGAGCCATGATTCTTCCCATAGACAATACCATCACAAAGGCTGACACAAGAAGAGCCATGATTCTTCCCATAGACTAAAGGCTGACACAAGAAGAGCTATAGCCCCACAGCTAACTACTGTACAAAATGGTAATATGAAGTGAAAGGCACAAATAGATATTACAGGTCTTGTGTACATATGCTATTCTGCTTTTGTCTTGCTCTTTAGTGTATGAGCGACAGCCGCTACTAATGCTGCTCCTTTGCCACTGCCATCTTCCGAAAGAACAAATTTGACATTAACACCAGGAGCCAACTGTTTGATTGTGGCTGTCATGATGTCGTGGAACCTGGGGTGCTTTCTGTACAGAGATCCATCCACCCCGCATGTGACATCACTTTTTCCGACCTGGCAGGCAACAGCAGCAATACCAGCTGCGGCTAGCTGTGCAGCACGAGATGACACTGCAGCACACACAGCTTTCACGATTTTACAACCTTGGTCAGTTATCTCAAGACCATGATCCTTCATGAGTTTTCTGCATACTTTATAATCTGGACTTGTATCTCTGAAAGTAAAGAAACAATAAATACGCTTTAGCAATAGTTGTCAGACAATGAATATTAAACAATATTCCTGATCTGCCAAAATGGTAATCCCCTTGATTCAAACATATGTGTGACATGATGTATATATAAAGTTTGAACATGATTGATTGGTCAAGGCATGTCAGAGATAATGAGTCAGGAACAGTACTCTTAAAACAAAATGGCCACCATTTTGAATCCGGTTTGAAAAAACAAAATGCTGTGCATCAAGGTCTCAGTACATGCATGTCAGATGTATGTGTATGTACCAATTAAGTTTGAACATAATCAATCAATCCATCCATCCATACATGACTGATTGATATTGATGAAGTTTAAACATTAAAATGTTTTTGTTGTTTTTTTCCAATCAAATTGTGAAATAAAATGCATATGTACGTGTGAAATTCTGAATGTGATCCGTCCAGGCGTGTCTAAGATTTTAATGTGAGAATAGTCCATTAATATTTATGAATAAATGTTTACAAAGAATGGGCCTCTGAACTGAGCATGCACTTCAGAAGGTGGCAATACGGGATGAGTAAATTACAGGATTTGTCTAGTGAAGCGGTTGCCCTGGCAACACTTAACTTACCCCTCAATCTGTGAAAGATTAGCTGTCTCAAACTTCCATGAATTCCTTAACGCCTCAGTTGTTTTACCATCAAATAAAACATGGTTTTCAGCTAATTTCACAAGAATTTGACGAACTAATTCACCAAGATACATCCCAGAAATCATCTTTTCAAATCTGTTGATAAAACAAAAGATATTTGATTTAGTTACTACATGGTGTGTATGCAGTCACGATAAGCTTAAAAATCAGTTCACTATAGATATTCCTACAATACCAGAGAAACTACAAATAAAATACATTATTATACATCTGTCAATATAACCCCACAAGTTAAAGCGTGCCGTAATTTTGCAATATTTTACAGGGTATTTTCATCCTACCATATTAGGAAGTGCGAATTCCAAATATGGAATGATTACACACGTAAGCGTCCTCTAATGATAAAAACAAACATAGCTGCCACCCGAGTTTGACCGGACTTCATACAAAGAAGTTCGCTGACACTGTTCTTAACATTTTGAATTTTGGCATTCCCATGGTGTATTCTTGGAAGGAAAAGATGTATAATACTAAGGTTATTACGAGAATACCTCAAAGTATGCACTCAGACAGTATGTCGCGCATCGACTTCCGCCCCACATCGGTCGATATTCCAGCTGTATGTCTTCGTGCATACTTTGAGGTATTCTCAAAATAACTTTATAGTATGACAGTTTTCATGCTTTACAGGACTGCATTATTTTCTATTTGCATACTGGCTATCAGCTAGCTTTGCATTTTCATAAAAAATTTTAATTTTTTAATTTAATTTGTTAGAACTATATAGAGTCTATCAAGAGATATTTGGGCTTGTGAAAATGCGTGGATAGTGAGAAAACAGTTCATAACCAGTGGAATCACCAGTGGTACACAACTAACCGACTCCTCCCGATCATTACTGATTCAACCTACGTTCTTTCGGTGCTTTGTTATGAGTCAGTTCCCATTATTCTAGGAAGTTCACAATAGCAACTCAATAGATGACAGACTCGATCGCGTTGAGCGTTGTTACGAAATGTAAATCCACCCAAGACGCATGGTTTTTTAGCTCTGCTGTTGACTTTGTTGAGCGGAGCTTATCATATGAGTGATTGTCCGTCCTCGTTCGTGTCAATGTTTTACTTTTTCGACTTCTTCTTGAAAACTACAAGCCTGAATGCTTTGATACTTGGTGTATTTGTACCTTGGGTAGACCTCTCTCAGATTTGTTCATTTCATGATCATATCCAAGCAAGTCCAATTGCTTTGATATTACACATATAGGTACTACATGTGGTAATATTTTCTTCTTGTTAAAAACCACAATCATTTATGGTCAAAAATGATATTTTTGAATTCTTGTTGAAAACAGCAAGTCCCATTGCATTGATACTATGCATATTGTTCTTTTTCTAATGATATCTTCTGTTCTTTAATTGAAATGTGCATTGCTAACAGCGGAGCTATCTCAGTCGAGAGGCTGCTTGTTGGTGATATTAGTAGCTTTGTAATCCCTAGATTATCCAGTTTTGGATTTACTACGATTAATCTTTGGCATTTTCTTTGGATACTACTTATACTGACAGAAGCATGGCTTTTATCAGTTTACGAGACGAAACGAGACTATCATCGAGCTGCCAAAAATGCCTCATACTCAGGTTAGTTTCATCATGGAGCTCCATAGTTTCATGATTTATTTGTGTTCATATATTCATTTAGTCATAGAAAATGATTTTGATCATAGTTTACCAGATTGTAATCCTGAATAGGTCGGAATGTAAACACAAGGTTTCCTTCTTCGCGATCAATGTAACGATGTTTTCATTCCACGTTGATAAAGAATATCATTGCGATTGCAGTGTGCATTGTCACCTACTAGAAATGCCTATTAGTAATATTGGTATGGAAATAAAAGACAGTAAAATGTTAAAATAGCAAAAGTGCAAACGCCAGTGAATTGTACATCCAGGGTCTCAGTTCTAACACTCGAGTCATTGCAGTAATACATGTAAAACTAGAATATCATAGTGATTTATAAAAAAAATAATATTATTTTGAAAATCGATAAAATCGATGTTTATTTTTTTGTTTTTCAAAATCGCAAATATATAGAACTGATTGACTGTTGATAAAAGATGTAATACCTGTTATTTTCAACTAACAGGAAACCCCATAGTTGGCTGCTGTTCACAGCTTTACAACTAACTTGTGTCATCAGTTCTAAATTTTGAAATTGAGTATGGCCAACTAGTTTGGAATCATTGTGTTTGGATGGAGAAAACTAAGATTGTGTTATTTGACACCACACACTGGTAATATACATTCAGAAATTGTGTTTGTTACATGATATTTTGGGTGTGTTAATAAAAGATCAGATCATGGAAAAAGTGTACACACTGGTCAGCACTGTTTAATTGTAGGCACAATTTCTTTCCATAGTTTTTGCTGTTATGCTGATGCATGAAAATGTATGCAGGAAGATTGCCTGGCCACAAGTGCTTATATTTTTTTTTATTTATTAGTATAATTGTCATTACTATTATGAGACATATTTAGGTTATGCATGTTGCAGTTTTGAAAGCAAGCTTTAAGCTATTTTTAATCCAGCTTAAAGCTAGCAAGCTAGTGTGACTGATTGTTTTAACATTCTGAAGCTGACTGATTCATTGTGTAGAACGTACGACACAGCCCCGGAACTAGCCCTGTGTACAGTGCTGTGTGTACGGGGACGCGTTTGGTTGATAGATGTCCCCACCACAGCCCTGCGTACCTCCATAGACAAAGTCCGGGAGCGCACTGTAATTGGTGCGCAAGTTAAAAATAAGTAGTTTCCCAGCCGAAATCGGTTGAAATGACGATAGTTATATGAAACTGAAATGTCTTTAAAAAATGACTAGTAAAGACGGACAAAATGTAAACGCGTAGGTACCGGAGGAATTATCCACCAAACGTCGCCATTTTTAATTTCATTCAAGCAAGAGTATGTGTTTGTTTTTAAGGCAAAGTAGCCAATTTCATCCACAATTGGACT